AAATTCCAGAGTACTTTTATAATTCGACTCCCCATGCTAAAAAGATCTAGACTGATAAGCAAAATGTGTGGATATGCAGAAAACAGAGATTATTAGTTCCATTTCACAATACATTTCTAATTTCTTAAAAGCTGTCACCCTGCTCCCTGTTCAAATCTGCCTTTCCTTTCTTCCTTAGGTTCTGCATCTGCCAACCATGTAGAGTAATAAAAACAGCCAGGGAAGAAATATATATATATTTGTGGTGGACATTTTTTCCCACATCTTTTTTGTTCTTTTTAGATGTTCTAATGTCCTTTAAGGATCCTGAAAGACGACACACCTAGGCTCCTTATCTCCCCAGCACAGCATCACAAACAATTGTGATAGAGCATGGTGGTCTTTCCTCCCTACAGGAGAGACAGAAACAAATTTGTTCACCCCTGAGGATGACGAGGGGAGCAAGGAAATGGGGTGCTTGAGGGGCAGGGCTTGCTCCACATCTGAGCAGCTGGCTTCAGGACAGCAGCATGTGCTACCCTTGATGAGACCCCCAGCTCAGGGCATGAAAGCCTTTTCTCACTCACTCCAGAGATCCTAAATAAAAGCTGGTGGAACCCTCCCAGACAGAGGTCACTTCATTAACCCAGCCCACCTTATCCTGATAACAGGGTCAAGTACTTCTCACTGTGAAGAATTTTCAGTTTATTTCACAGACAAGATAGCTCGATCCAAGTCTGCATTGTTGCTCCCCAGGAAGGCTCTCAGAAGAAGCTAAGGAAGGAGGACTGCGAGTCCTTTGCTGGGGCCCTGCCCTCCTATTCTTTAGGACACATCTGCCTAGGATCCCAGTTCTTTCACTGCAGGGGGATCTGCACTGCACTTTTACAAGAAAGGGGCCAAGGCGTGAAATGAGGGCATAAGGACAGCCCGTCTCAAGTTTCAGCTGAGATTTAGAGTACAGCCTTCAAAGCAGGGAGTTCATTTCTGTTGTTTGGGTTTGCTTTGCCTTTGTCTTAAATTTCTATATAATTTATGACACCGGAAGTCAGTTGCATTTGCGTCCCAGCATTCCCTCTCCTTTCCCCACATTGTTCTTTGGGGAATCCATGTCCTTGTCTAGTCCTGGTCCATTTGGTTCAGGGAGGGTATAAAACATCTGAGTTGTCACTGACAGCACATTATCCCCATGACTGCAGGGACTAGCTAAGAGATGCCCACTTTAAACAGGTCAGACCAGTGCAAATTGTGA